CACTTCCGGGTCCACTGTATAATACACGGGAGACCCCCCCACAAATGGTGAATGTCTTTTTGGTTCATTCCTGCTCTAACTTATAGCACTTTAAGTAAAATATGATAGAGTACTTCTGCCAGGGGCTTTTTGAACATCTGTACTTAGAATGATTTATAGTCCTGGCAGCTGTAGGCTCCATTGCAGAGAGGGACAAGGAGAAAGGGGATGGGGCCAGTGTGGCTCAAGGGTCACAATAGCTACAGGGAAAGGTGTCCGTCAGCCTCTTGCCTGTCCCCCTCTCCCCACTGCTGCAGGTGCTGCTGAATGCTATGCCTTTGCCATCACTTCCTGACTCTTTCCCTGACTCCACACAGCAAGAGTCTGTAGCTACATCAATTCCAGCACCCCTTTGCCTCCATGCTAGTGCACCCCCTCAGTCAGCACCTAGGGCTTATACTCCCTTAGTCACCCCTTGTTATGATACTGGAGTGATTTGTGAATCTGGAACACACTAATATCCCATTTTAAATATGGGCCAACTGAGTTCAGGGAATTTTGCTGGCCTGATTTTTTCAGAAATGCTAAGCACACAAAGCCACAATGTCTGGCAAGAAACTTTTTGCCTACAAAAGCTCATGCCTCTCTGAACTATTTAGTCTCTAAGGTGCTGCTATGCCCTGCCTTTTCCTTGACCTAAGGCTAACAATGACATTGCCCAAACAGGACAATCTGGTCTCCCCAGCCTACCAGCACTGCTTGACTAGTGATTTGGCAGGAAATCCGATCCCCACTTGTTGCAGTGATTGGAGAGAAGGCTGCAAGACAGCACTTGTCACAGCTGCTGCTGTTGGAAGGACACAGCAGGTTGAACCTGAGCTCATAATTATGGAACAAGTACAGATAGTAGCCTCCACACATGGTCACCCTCTGCCTGCACTGCAATGCATGTGAGGATCAGAGAACAGGAGATACCCAGGTTAGGGACTGGTGCACAGTAGGGCAGTTCGCTAATAAAAAGCTCTGTACTTGATAAAGGTTTTGAAGTGATTTCTGGGTAAATCTCTGCCCTCCCCTTCAGGGCTGTAGAAAGAGTATCCACCCTCAGGCAAGAGATGGGAGTTTGGAACTAGATACCAGCTAGGGGACCCAGCACTCCCCCTTCACAAGGAACTTTATGTATGTGGGCAATCCCCATTCAACTGAGATTATTTGCATAGGTAAATAATATACTTGCATGTTTGGAGGATGGAGCCTTAAAATATAGCTAAATCTCTTTGTGCCTTTTCTCTGTTTGCCTCACTGTTGATGAAACAGAGTTTATAGTGTGAAAAAATACATCTCAGAGTCAATCTATTCCTAGTATTAATTGTTTTCTGTATATTTACTCAGCAGAAATTCATACAGGTCAGGAGGGACTATTCAATCATCTTGTCTTACTCCATGCATAACACAGGCCATAGCATTTCAACCAATGTTTCTTCACAGATAACTAGCCTTGTGTTGAGCTAGAACAGTGGTTCTCAACCTTTTTAGACTTGAGGCCCTCCTCGAGAGACTCATGGAACCCCTCAGAAAATGTCAGCTCTTAAATTGTCACTGTTTTTTATTACAGAAAAATAATAGAGCAATTCTTCTGTCGCAAAGAACTCAGAAA